GAAGGGAAAGGTAAAAACGGTAAACAGGAAAAAGAGAAAAAGAAAAAAAAGAAAAGAGGTAGGAAAAGGGGGAAAATGAAGGGAAAAGAGGAAGTGGATAGGGGGGAAAAAAGGGACAGTTGATTGAGGAAGGAATGGGAGGAGATAGGAAGGTCAGGCGTAGGGGAAAGGGGGAGAGATATTACGGAGAAGGGAGAGGAGGAGGGCAAAGGATGGGAGGGGAAGAGGATAAAATAATAAAGAGGGAGGAGCTGGAAGGGAAGGAGTGAGGGGATTGAGGAAGAGAAGAGAGAGGATGGGATGAGTGAAGGGAAAAAACTCGGATGAGAAAAGAGAATGGGAGAGGAGGGGAAAGGGGATAGGGGAGGGAGAGAAAGGGGTTTAGAAACGTATGAAAGAGAGAGACGAAAGGGAAAGGAAGAAGGAAGAAGGAAGCAAGGGGGAGGCGAGGAAGTGAAAGAGAGAGACAAAAGGGGAAGGAAGAAGGAAGAAGGAAGAAGGAAGCAGGGGAGAGGTGAGGAAGTTGCCGAAGAGGGGATAGAGAAAAGAGAAAGAGGAAGAGAATAAGGAGTAATCAGAAGATGAGGGAAAAGGGAGAAATCTAGAAAGGGAGAGTAAAAGAGAAAGGAATGGAAGGTGAGTGAAAGTAAGGGGTAAGTAGAGAAAATGAGGTGGAAAAGTGAGGTAAGGAAATATGAAGTGAGGATTGAGCAAACAGGTTAGGGACACAGGAGGGGAAGGGGGGGGGAGGCAGCGAAAAGGAATAGAAACAGATGGATAAAAAGAAAAGAAAGAAGAGGAATAGAACTTGAAAAAAACATTGAAAAAAAACATTCACAAAAGCAATATTAATATTAGATCAAACATCGCCATCGTTAACATTATCGCCTCTAAATTGATATCACAGTCGATAAGAAATTAAGAAAGAAGACATATTCGACCACTGCAAACAAACACACAAACACAGTAGAAATTCAAACACAAGCAAAAGCACAAGCAGACAGAACATCCCTCCCATTACCCATCCAAAATAAGGTCATACTAAAAAAAAGAAGCAGAAGAAGAAGAAAAAAAAGAGAAGATGAAGAAGAAGAAAAAAAAAAAAAAGGAAAAGAAGAAGAAAAAAAAGAGAAGATGAAGAAGAAGAAAAAAAAAAGGAAAAGAAGAAGAAGAAATAGGTCGCCACTCACAAACATTACGCAATAAATCAAAGATACGAACATTTATTTTTCTAAACTAACATTCTACTGAAAGAGAAAAATAACACTTACGAACACAAATAAGTAAAAACATTAAAACAACAACAACACAAACAAACACATTTAGTCACACTTCCAAAGCAGCATTCCACTAGGAAAAAATAAAACAACAAAATCACAAACACACATTCAGTCACACAAAACAACACTCAACAAGTAAAACAAACAGTCACACTGCCAGCCACATTTCCAAACAAACACTCCACCAAAAAAAATATAGAACTAACAACAAACAATAATAATAATATAAAAAAAAAACACAATTCAGTCACACGTTTAATCCAACACTCCACCAGAAATAAACAAACAAACACACAGTCAGCTACACTTCCAAACCAACACCACCAGAAAAACAACAAAAACAAACAAATACACACACAACACACTACCAAAGCAACACCACCATAAACAAATCAGCAACAACAAAAACAGCCACACTACCAAACCAACAACACACACATACACACACACAACCACACACACACACAACACAAAAATAAAAACCAAAAAAATAAAAATAAAATCAACAACCCACACTACCAAACCAACACCACACACACACACACACAAACTAACCCCCCCCCCCCAAAAAAAAAAGCATAAATAAAAATAAAAACCAACAACAACAACAACAACCAACCACCCAGCCCCACTTCCGGATCCCCAGCTACAACAGCTGTCCCTTCCCCCGACCTGTATTCCCCGCCTCGACGTCCAGGATCCGGTAACTGATCACGTGTCCTCTAAGAGAGAGGTGCTGGATCATATCGCTTGCGGCTTGTCTCTTTGCGGTTGTTTGGTGTGGAGGGAGGGGGGTGTGTTGTGGGTCTGATTGGCGTGGGTGGTTGGGGGGGGGTCTGATTGGCGTGGGGTGGGAATGGGGGGGGAGGGTGAGGTTGTGGGTGGGTTGGTGGTTGGGGTCTGAATTGGCGTGGTAGGTTGGGGTGGGGTTGTGGGGAGGGTTGGTGGGTCTCTTGATTGGTTGATTGTGTTGTGGGAGGGTTGTGGGTTTGGTTGATTGGTTGTGGGAGTGGTTGTGAGTTTGCCTGGTTGGTTGATTGGTTGTGGGTCTCTTTGATTGGTTGATTGGTTGTGGGGAGGGTTGTGGGTTTGCCTGGTTGGTTGATTGGTTGTGGGTCTCTTTGATTGGTTGATTGGTTGTGGGGAGGGTTGTGGGATTGGTTGATTGGTTGTGGGGAGGGTTGTGGGTTTGCCAGGTTGGTTGATTGGTTGTGGGTCTCTTTGATTGGGGATTGGTTGTTGGGAGGTTGTGGGTTTGGTTGATTGGTTGTGGGGAGGGTTGTGAGTTTGCCTGGTTGGATTGATTGGTTTGTGGTTGATTGGTGATTGTTGTGGGTCTCTTTGATTTGGTTGATTGGTGTGGGGAGTGTTGTGGGATTGGTTGATTGGTTGTGGGGAGGGTTGTGGTTTGCCTTTTGCTGGGTCTTTTGATTGGTTGAATTGGTTGGTTGTGGGTTGGTTGATTTGAAATTGGTTGTTGGTTGATTGGTTGTGTGGGGAGGGTTGTGGGATTGGTTGATTGGTTGTGGGGAGGGTTGTGGGTTGCCTGGTTGTTTGATTGGTTTTGTGGTTCTGATTGGTGTGGTTTGATTGGTTGTTGGGTGGGGAGGGTTGTGGGTTTGACCTGGTTGGTTGATTGGTTGTGGGTCTCTTTGATTGGTTGATTGGGGAGGGTTGTGGGGAGGGTTGTGGAGATTGGTTGAATTGGTTGTGGGGAGGGTTTGTGGGTTTGGGTTGATTGGTGTGGGGAAGGGTTTTGGGTTGGTTGATTGGTTGTGGGGATGTGGGTTTGGGTTGCCTGGTTGGTTGATTGGTTGTGGGTCTCTTGATTGGTTGATTGGTTGTGGGGAGGGTTGTGGGATTGGTTGATTGGTTTGTGGGGAGGGTTGTGGGTTTGCCTGGTTTGGTGATTGGTTGTGGGTCTCTTTGATTGGTATTGGTTGTGGGAGGGTTGTGGGATTGGTTGATTGGGTTGTGGGGAGGGTTGTGGTTGCCTGGTTGGTTGATTGGTTTGTGGGGGTCTCTTGATTGGTTTGATTGGTTGTGGGGAGGGTTGTGGGGATTGGTTGATTGGTTGTGGGGAGGGTTTGTGGGTTTGCCTGGTTGGTTGATTGGTTGTGGTCTCTTTGATTGGTTGATTGGTTGTGGGGAGGGTTTGTGGGATTGGTTGATTGGTTGTGGGAGGTGTGGGTTTGCCTGGGTTGGTTTGATTGGTTGTGGGTTGTTGATTTGGTTTTGATTGGTTGTGGGGAGGGTTGTGGGTTTGGTTGGTTGGTTGTGGGAGGGTTTTGAATTGGTTGATTGGTTGTGGGGGAGGGTTGTGATGGGATTGGGTTGATTGGTTGTGGGGAGGGTTGTGGGTTTGGTTGGTTGTTGGGTTGGGTTGATTGGTTGATGGTGGGGAGGGTTGTGGGTTTTGGTTGATTGGTTGTGGGAGGGTTGTGAGGTTTGCCTGGTTGGTTTGATTGGTTGTGGGTCTTTGATTGGTTGATTGGTTGTGGGGAGGGTTGTGAGTTTGCCTGGTTGGTTGATTGGTTGTGGGTCTCTTTGATTGGTTGTTTGGTTGTGGGGAGGGTTGTGGATTGGTTGATTGGTTGTGGGTAGGCGTTGTGGGTTTTGATTGGTTGTGGCTTTGAATTGGTTTGATTGGTTGTGGGGAGGGTTGTGGGGTTTGGTTGAATTGGTTTTGTGGGGAGGGTGGTTGTGGGTCTCTTTGATTGGTTGATTGGTTGTGGGGAGGGTTGTGGGTTTGGTTCAGGTTGGTGATTTGGTGTGCGGTCTCTTTGATGCGGTTGATTGGTTGTGTGGGAGGGTTGTGGTTTGGTTGATTGGTTGTGGGGAGGGTTGTGAGTTTGCCAGGTTGGTTGTTTGGTTGTTGTGGGTCTCTTTGATTGTTGTTGATTGGTTGTGGGGAGGGTTGTGGAGTTTGCCTGGTTGTTGATTGGGTTGTTGGGTCTCTTGATTGGTTGATTGGTTGTGGGGAGGGTTGTGGGATTTGCCTGGTTTGGTGGTGATTGGTTGTGGGTCTCTTTGATTGGTTTTTTGTCGGTTGTGGGTTTTGGCCTGATTGGTTTGTGGTGAGGGCTTGTGGTTTTGCCTGGTTGGTTGATTGGTGGTGGGGTCTCTTTGATTGGTTGATTGGTTGTGGGGAGGGTTGTGGGGTTTGCTGGTTGAATGATTGGTTGTGGGATTTTTGATTGGTTGATTGGTTGTGGGTCTCTTTGATTGGTTGATTGGGTTGAGGGTCTTTCTTTGTGGTTGTGGATTGGTTGATTGGTTGTGGGATTGGTTGATTGGGTTGTGGTGAGGTTGTCGTTTGGTTGATTGGTTTGAGGGTTGTGGTGTTGTTGTGGTTGATTGGTTGAGGGCTCTTTGAGTTGGTTGTGGGATTGTGTTGATTGGTGTGTCGGGTAGGGTTGTGGGATTGCGTTGATGGTTTGTGGGGAGGGTTGTGGGGTTTCCGTGTTTGATTTGGTTGTGGGGAGGGTTGTGGGTTTTGTGGTTGTTGATGGTTGTGGTTTGATTGGTTGATTGGTTGTGGGGCAGCTGGTTTTGTGGATTGGTTGAATTGGTTGTGGGAGGGTTGTGGGTTTGCCTGGTTGGTTGATTGGTTGAGGGTCTCTTTGATTGGTTTGTGGATTGGTTGATTGGTTTTGGGGAGGGTTGTGGGTTTGCTGTGGTTTTGATTGGTTGAGGGTCTCTTGATTGGTTGTGGGATTGGTTGATTGTGTTGTGGGGAGGGTTGTGGGTTTGCCTGGTTGGTTGATTGTTGAGGGTCTCTTTGATTGGTTTTGGGATTGGTTGATTGGTTGTGGGGAGGGTTGTGTTTTTGCCTGGTTGGTTGATTGGTTGAGGGTCTCTTTGATTGGTTGTGATTGGTTGATTGGTTGTGGGGAGGGTTGTGGTTTGCCTGTTGGTTTTTTTGTTGGGGGGGAGGGTCTTGTGAGGGTTTGGTGGGTTGGTTTGATTGGTGAGGTCTTTGTTGGTGTGTGGATTGGTTGATTGGTTGTGGGGAGGGTTGTGGTTTGCCTGGTTGGTTGATTGGTTGAGGGTCTCTTTGATTGGTTTTGGGATGGTTGATTGGTTTGAGGGGTGTGGGTTTCCTGTTGGTGATTGTTGAGGGTTCTTTGATTGGTTGATTGGTTGTGGGGGAGGGTTGTGGGTTTGCCTGGTTGGTTGATTGGTTGAGGGTCTCTTTGATTGGTTGTGGGTTGGTTGATTGATTTGATTGGTTGTGGGTTTGCCGATTCGTTTCATTGTTGTGGTTTTATCTAACTGCTTGTGGATTTGTTTGATTTGTTGATTTGTTGCGGGTCTGCTGATTGGTTTATTGATTGGTTGTGGGTTTATCTGATTGGTTGTGGATTTGTTTGATTGGTTTGTCTGATTGGCTGATCGGTTGTGGATTTGCCTGATTCGTTTCATTGGTTGTGGTTTTATCTGACTGGTTGTGGATTTTGATTGTGTTTGATTGGTTGTGGGTTTGCCTGGTGGGTTGTGGGTCTGATATATGGTGTTGGTTTGTCTGATTGTTTAAACTGATTGGTTATTTGGTTTGCCTGGTTGTGGGTTTGTCGGTCTGGTATGTTTATCTGATCTGATTATTTGGTTTATTGCATTTTTCCTCTCTTTTTGTCTGTTGGGTTGTAGGTCTAGTTATTGGTTTTCCTATATTTGGTTGGTTTGTTGCTTTGTTTTGGTTTGTTTGTTGTCTGTCGGGTTGTGGGTCATATTATGGTTGTTTGTGTGAATGCTGTCTGATTTGTCTTTCTGGCTACGTGTCTGTCTGTCTGCCTAGCTGTTTGTGTGGCTTTGGGTCTATTCTGCAATCTCTGTCTGTTTTTTCTATTAATCTTACTCGCTCTCTATCGACTTAGTTTTCTTATTAACCTATCGACTAGTTTCTCTTTATCTTGATTTTCCTCCTATGACTAGTTTCTCTATTTATCTTTTAACTAACATTTCCTCCCTATCGACTAGTTTCTCTATTTTTATCTTTTAGACTAACATTTCCCTTCCTATCGACTAGTTTCTCTCTATTTATTTCTTTTAACTTACATTTCCCTCCTATCGACTAGTTTCTGCTATTTATTTTTAACTTACATTTCCTCCTATCTAGTTCTCTATTTACTTTTAACTACATTTCCTCCTATCGATAGTTTTCTCTATTTATCTTTTAATTACTTTCCCTCCCTATCGACTAGTTTCTTTATTTATCTTTTAACTTACATTTCCTCCTATCGACTAGTTTCTCTATTTATCTTTTAACTTACATTTCCCCTCCTATCGACTAGTTTCTCTATTATCTTTTTACTTACATTTCCTCCATATCGCCTAATTTCTCTATTACTTTTACTTACATTTCTCCCATCGATAGTTCTCTATTCATCTTTTAACTTACATTTCCCTCCCTGGCGACTAATTTCTATTTATCTTTTAACTTTTTTATTTATTTATTTATTTTTTTACATTTTCCCCCTTTCTGTCTGCTCAACCCTCCCCCCTCCCCTCCTTCTACTCTTACCGAGCCTCAAAGAAAAAGCAAAACAAAGATTCCAAGTTGAACCTGACATCAAACACACTCGACCGCTGAACAGCAGCGGACCTTGCTTTTGTTTTGGGGTTCAGACATAACGCAAAGGGATCGTATTAAATGTAATTCTTTCCGTGTCTCTTGCGTTTCCCCTTCCGTTAGTGTTCCTCCCTCTCCCCTCCTCGTTTTCTCTGGCTATTAGGGCAACCGTTTGCAGAGATGGTTATTGTAGAGGCAAAGAAACGCGGATAGGTTCCACATGGCGGCGGATAGACAGAAAGAGAGATAGATGGATAGGTGGATAAATACGTGAATGTGCATATGCACAGACACACTTGCGCGCGCGCATACACATAACTGACAGACAAACATAACGTACATAAACACACATAGAACACACACACTTGCCCAGATATGTATATTACACACACCACACATGCACATATATGCAACACACACACACACACACACACACACACACACACACACACACACACACATATACAGTTATATATATATATATATCTATATATATATATATATATATATATATCCATATATATAATATATATAGTATATTATATATATAGTATACTATTATATATATTCATTCTATATATATATTATATATATACTATTATATTATATAAATAAATATGATTTATTAATAAATATATATAAAGTATATTATACCATATATATATATACTCTCCGTAGTATAATAATAGGTGTGATTTACTTAGGATATATATAGCTCTCATATCATATATAGTCTCCTGCACTTATATATTATAATGTATGTATATTATTATATAGTATTTAGTATATCTATATATAATAATATATATATATTATCAATTATATGTATATATTATCTATATATGTACATATATATATATGCATAGTTGATATGTGTATTTATGTATGTAATCTATATGTCTGTATATTATGTCCTATATATATTATATACGTATAATTATACTATATATATATAGTATATATTATATATTAGTATATATAGTTTTTACATTAACATTACGTCATTACATACGGTATATAATTATATTATATATATACCTATTATTATATATATATATATATATATTACATATATAGTTCCACTACTGGCTACTCACTCGCCATGGTCTACTCCTCCAGCGCGAGATGAAATAATATATCTATGGCTCATTCCCTCTTCGTATGTGATATAATCCTTATTGATCTCACGTCATATAATAGTATATAATAATCTAATAATAATAGTATCCTTATATGATACAGGTTGCGTCTACAGCGTAAATCTCTATCAGTAGTATCGTGAGTGAACATACCCTGTTCTCTGATCTTAACATCTATGTCCTTACTCTAAGACCTATATATATATATAGTATATTATATTGTATGTATGTCAATCGTCTGCCAATATCACGCGTATATACTCACACTAATCTGTGTACGCGCATTATATGATACTCTGTAACGTCTGATATAATATCGACTACGTTAAGTATGCTATATATACTAGATAGATATAAATATAGCCGTGCCTATTAACTGCCATATATTATACAATGGTCTGCGTATGCTGATTTCTAATCAGGCATGAATATATATATATATATATATAGCAGTCGAGTGTAATGTTGTCTGCGCGTCTCTCTCCCAAGTGGGAACTAGCTCGCAGTTCCTCTGCTCTATCTAACAAGTGTAAATTAGTTTCGTCTCACGCGCCTTGTAAGATGGGTGTATATATATACTAGTGGATAGATAAGATCGTAGCATGTCGCTGTGGGAAGATGCTGGTTAGTGTGTATGTTTATGAATTGTGTTCGAACGGAAGATGCGTAGGAGGTTGTATTGTGTGATCGTAGAGTTGAGTAGTGAGTAGAAGTACTTTGTTGGATGCTATCTCTGTTTGGTGTGGTGTGTGTGTGTGTGTGTATGTGGTTCTCTCTCTTCTAGTGCGTCTCTTATTAGCCCTTGTTCTGTTTTCATGTAAGTCATAGAAATGCGTTGTTATGTTTTAGATTATGACTTTAATAGAGGTATACATACTGCATTAGCATATATGACTGACTTCGGTGCTTATGTACATATACTGCATTTAGAGGTGTTCCGATTACGGTGACGACGCCACCGTTAGAATCGGATCTCCGTCGTAAGTCATGCGGATATATATATATATATATATATATATATATATATATATATATATATATATTATATATATATATATATATATATATATATATATACGTATATATACTATATACATATTTACATATATGTATATGCATGCATATATATGTACACAGACACAACACACACACACACACACACACACACACACACACACACACATATATATATATATATATATATTATATATATATATATATATGTATGTGTTGTGTGTGTGTGTGTGTGTGTGTGTGTGTGTACATGTATGTGTGTGTGTGTGTGTGTGCATGTGTGTGTGTGTGTTTAAGCACCGAAGTCAGTCATATATGCTAATGCAGTATGTATACCTCTATGAAAGTTATAATCTAAAACATAACAAGACACTTCTATGACGTACATGAAAACAGAACAAGGACTAAAGGAGCACAAATAAGAGAACAATTCTTTCCCTTTCACATTCAAACTTTATTATCTCTCACGGGAAATTCACATGAGACACCATACATGTATTGAAAAATAAGGACATCATCACACAGGACACTTTCGATAACTTATACACTTCTCTCGTGTACTTCTGTGGCTGGCTTGCGAGGGTGAGACACTTGTTTAATGTGGAGACGTTGGAGAACCTGAGGAAGGTGCTGGAGACGCTGGGAGAAGATGTTTCAGAAATTCCTGAAGGAGCTGGAGAATCTGGAGGAGGTAAAGAAGGTAAAGAGGTAGAGGGCACAGGGCCTGTTGCGGGTGTCTCTATTTACTTGAAGAAGCAATCCAAAAATAGACAAGCAGGGAGTGGCTGGATGTTGCTGTTACATTTTCATATCGGTAAGAGCACATCCGATTGTCAGAATGTGCTGTGGCGAGAGCTAAGCGAGCGAGCGAGCGCTGTTTTCCGCTCGCAGCCACTCGTGCGGGCGGCAATACGTGTACTGTACGTGGTATAGTGTACCTCGTATTCAACCGCGACGTTCGTATTTACGACGCAATCGAGGTAACTGGAATACATGATTTCTTTAGTCGTATCCACGAAACGTCGTAAGTCGAGACAGTCGTAAATCGAGGACCCCTGTATATGTATATATATATATATATATAATATATATATATATATATATATATATATATATATATATATATATATATATATATATATATATATATATATATATATATATATATATATAATATATATATATATATATATATATATATATATATATATATATATATATATATATATATATATATATATATATATATATATATATATATATATATATATATATATATATATATATATATATATATATATATATATATATATATATATATATATATATATATATATATATATATATATATATATATATATATATATATATATATATAAATATATATATATATATAAACAAACATAGAAAGGAAGACAGAAACACAGAGAACAGATAAACACACACACCAACACACAAAGAATCCCGGAATCCACCTAAACACAGCCACAACCGCTGCTTCTGCTGCCCTCCCTGCCCTTCCTCCACATGAGTACACACGCGCCATCTCACGCGCACACACGCACGATAAAGTAAATGAAATATTACCACATTTCTGTCCACGATGGGGAATCAGACAAGCAACAACGAGAATGTGTGTGTGTTGTGTGTGTGTGTGTGTGTGTGTGTGTGTGTGTGTGTGTGTGTGTGTGTGTGTGCGTGTGTGTGTGTGTGTGTGTGTGTGTGTGTGTGTGTGTGTGTGTGAAAATGTTTGATGTGCGTGTGTGTTAGAGTTCGCGTTTGTAAGTTTTTGTGCGTGTATGTGTGTCAAGTGCATTAGTCGAGGCTTTTTATATAAGGTACACTGTACTACGATGAACCATATTCTTTGCGACAAATGTAAAAAAGGTATGAATAAAAATGAATATCTTCACAGTGCAAGAATTGTATATGTATATAATCTTGTATTTCCGACGGTCACTACTACTTTTACACTGTGAAAATATTAATTTTCATTTGTCTCTTTTCTACACAGTTCCACAATGTCTATCTGGCAAATGAGACTGATGTTTTCGCTCTGATTTAGTCATTGACGAACCAAGACAAAAAATGATAGTCATGTGAATGATATTTTTATACTTTGAATCTATAATGATCGCTTTTTCCTTTTCTATCATTTCGTATACTTTTTTTGAAAGCTTTATGAATTTTAGTTCCGCAAAAGTATCAATGACAATACCAAGGTAATTTTGTGTGTATGTGTGTATGTACGTGCGTGTGTGTGTGCGCGCGTTCGTGTATGTGTGTGTGTGCCAAATGCATTTAGTCGACGATTTCTCCATAAGGTATACTGTATTACGATAAATTATATTGTTTGCGACAAAAATAGAAAAGGTATGAATAAGACATCGAGATAGATAGATATGCCAAGTCGCAACCACCTGGACGGGTAGAAACTGCTATGAAGACTATTGCAGATTATTCAGACCTTCAGGATATATCAAGCACCGTGGTGTTGAAGCCATATGTCGCTCCAAAGCACGATATGAGGGTATGCGCGTCCAAAGTTGTTCTCAGAGCATGCATAATTAGGTGTGAGAAGCAATCAAGCAAGCACTCTTATCACCTGGAACTGAAAAATGCCTTCCTGATAAGACTGATATGTATTAATTTATATCCCATATGAACTAATAATCACTTTGATACTATGCTATCTTACTGATAAGACTATATATCAATTTATATCCCATATGAATTAATGATCACTTTGATACTATGCTATCTTACTGATAAGACTATATATCAATTCATATCCCATATGAATTAATGATCACTTTGATACTATGCTATCTTACTGATAAGACTATATATCAATTTATAGCCCATATGAATTGATAATCACTCTGATACTATGCTATCTTACTGATAAGACTATATATCAATTCATATCCCATATGAATCAATAATCACTTTGATACTATACCATCTTACTGATAAGACTATATATCAATTTATAGCCCATATGAATCAATAATCACTCTGATACTATGCTATCTTCCTGATAAGACTATATATCAATTTATATCCCATATGAATTACTAATCACTCTGATACTATGCTATCTTACTGATAAGACTATATATCAGTTTATATCCCATATGAATCAATAATCACTCTGATACTATGCTATCTTACTGATAAGAATATATATAAATTTATAGCCCATATGAATTAATAATCACTTTGATACTATGCTTACAAAAATCAACGTGGGTGACTGGTCAAGCGTTGATTATGCTTTACAATCACTGGTTAATATTCATGGATTATGAATGTCGACCAACAGATGGAACTAGAAGCCGAGTTCGCTGGATTGTGTTTTGTAATATTTATCTGCCTGTGAGGGAGCTCATTTCTGTATATACAAATTTGAGTGCGACTGTATTACTAATTTTTCATGTCTGTTTATACATCCATTTGGTTTTGTAATTCAATGTATCTAATCATTTTTTTTTTTATATTCAATCTATTTATCACATTTTATATAAGGTTATAATATATCATAATACTTTTCTTGTATTCTCCATTTATCTATTGATTTTATACTAGCTTTTAAAAAATATTTTATTCATGAATTTTATCTTTAATTCACTCTATTTTTGTTAGTTGTTCTAATTCATGAATTTTATCTTTAATTTACTCTTTTTGTTAATTATTCTAATCTATGTCAGTATCTGAGCAGCTGTATCATACCATATCAGTGTAATATTTTAACATGAAATTACAATCCATGCAAATGATGAGATAAAAGTAATTAGATGATAAAATACAGCGTGATTACAAAAGGGGACATTTGCTTCATTTAAATATACCAGGGCACTTATTTTGATTATATAAAGGTATTTTTATTTATTATTTATTATTATTTATTTATTATTTATTATTATTTTGATTATATAAACCAGCCCCTTGTTTCGTTTTATCTTTATCTCTAGAAAATATCCAAGAAAATAATCGATGCAATACAAATGTATGATTACCAAATAATTATCATAATATCTAGTAAATATAAACATTTATACAGACACCGCGGCGTGTAAATATATAACATCTACATAATTACGCAACATCGAATCTTTCTCTCGAGTCTTGGAGGGTCATAGACGCCTTGGAACACGTAGGAATTTCGACCATCTCCGCAGAAGACGCCACCTCATTTGCATTTATGATATAGTCTTACCTCGTTTTCCCTTTTTTTTATCGTCTTCTCTTCATTCATTCGCCTCTCTCTCTGTCTGTCTGTCTGTCTGTCGGTTTGTCTGTCTGTCTGTCTGTCTGTCTGTCTGTCTGTCTCTCTCTCTCTCTCTCTCTCTCTCTCTCTCTCTCTCTCTCTCTCTCTCTCTCTCTCTCTCTCTCTCTCTCTCTCTCTCTCGCTCATCTATCTCATTTGTCTCTTCTCTGATGCCATGAGGAGGGAAAGACAGATAGGCAGATAGATCGAAATAGATAAATAGATAAGTAAATAGATAGATAGATGAATAGATAGATAGATATAAAGAGACGGACAGACAAACAGAATAAAAGTCAGAGAGAAGAAAACAAATAAAAGAAAAAGGCAGAATCCAACAGACCAAAAGCACCCCAATTCCTTAAGGTTCCTCCGGCCGTGCTTTTGACACGGGACTATCGACTTTAAGCGTGTTTTGCGAGCAGCGATTTTTATGAGGTTCACGGACCATTTGCACGTTGTTGCTCCGGACTCTTAACCTGTGGACTGTTTCTCTCGTCGTCTGACTCTTACTCGTCTTCGTCTTTCCGTTTTTGTGGGTCTTTTAATCGCTTGTTAATCGAGCGAGTGGGTGGGCGTCAGGGTTGAGGGTTTATTGTCATTTTGTGTTTTTCTTTATGGGCGAGAAAGTTTTACGTTCGTCTTCTTTTTGCTCTTTATCTGTTATTTTATGTTTGTTTGTTTTATTTATCTATTTATTATTTTTTGGGGTGGGTTTTTTTTTCCCCAAATTACGGATATCTATAATTTGAATTTATCATTATCATTGATTATCATTTTTTTAGGTACTTTATAACCTTATGATTTTCTTCCCCAACCAATTCTTTATTGCAACATTCTATATCTTTATTATCAATATTATCCTTCTCATCATCATCTTCATGATTATTCCTGTTATTATCATTATAATCTCTATTAACATCACCATCAGCATTTGTTATTATCATTATAATCTCTATTATTGTCACCATCAGCATTTGTTAGATTAATTATTATCATCAACATAATTATAATTCTGTCGCCATTTGTGTCATCGCAGTCATCCTCTGTGTTAATTAATTTAGTTGTTTATTTACCTCTCTGGCTAAATGCACGGGCGTGGCCAACCTTTGATACATTTAATGCACGGCCATAACATTATGCAATGATATTACGTTATGAATTTATGATATGACTTAATTACATCGTCTAGGATATGCACAAAAAAAGAAAGAAAATAAAATTCTTTGGTGTACTGCTTAAGGATGGGAAGGAATAATTACATTTGATATATGGTGATGGTATATCATATGTATTATATGAGGATATTAAGTGCATCCCATGATATGAAAAGGTTACATAACCATGAGTACGTGAAAGGCTGTCTTACATGGCACATTTACAACCTTCAATTACAAGTGTTCGGTTGTAGTCTTCATTGTAAAATTTACATTTAATGTCTACAATGTGATGTTACGTTGACCTACCAATACATCATTTTTAAAACCTTGAATACTAAATATTGCACAACGATAGCTTTCCTGTACATGATATCAAAGGCAGTTTTCACATAAGAAATAAAACCTACATGCTAGAGTGTGGGTTTGATATTTACAATTCTGAATGCTAAATCCTGAGAGAGAAAGCCACACAATCAGGGCGATAACCTTTTCAAAAGCATATACAGTAGACATTGTTGGGTTTGTTTTGGCTATAACTTTATGGAGAGCTTCCTTAGAGTGTGCTTAT